AGGATTCAATTCAAACATTATTCTACATATTTCTCCTAACTTATTTACATGCAATCAGTCAAGTTCTCTAGTCATGTAAGGTGATGGCAAGGATACTCAATTGCAGACATATATATTTTTACCATTCACTTAACACTATATAATCCGAATATCATAGAGATGACTCTAATGACTTAAGAGACCTTATTCCAAAGAAGAAATTTTTGAAGAACTATTATTGTTAGGTAAAACTCATATACTTTCATGTTTACATAATGTCAGTGATCAATGAATTTTTATACACTTGTGATAGCTTTGTAATAGGCCTAATTAGTTGTGAATTGTGCTTAATTGTATTGTTTTGGCTGAGTTTTATATTATTAGGCTTAATTAGGCTTAATTGTTAAACTTTGTTAATTTTTGGATTTTAGAGCCTTTTAACCTTTGCTTATTATGTAGGTAATATCTCAGGTTATAGTTATCGAATTTGAGTGATTCCAATTACATTTGAAAGCTAAGAGATGGGCCTACAACATTCATAGAGATTTAAAGGCTAAATCATAGCATCCAGAAACAGAATTGGACCAAAACTGGGCTGAAAGATGCAATTCACGGATTCTGGACCTTAGTGCAGTGTTTGGGTCGTATTTCAGCCCACAGATGTCCGATTCAACTCATTCTAGTGGCATTTGAAAGCTAAAATCCATGGCTTGAATGGAAAATCAATTACAAATTATAACAGATGCACTTCCTAGGCGAATTTGAAGAAGGAAGTTACGGTTTGTTGCTGGAGATTTGAAAAGTCAGATTTGAATAAAAGATTTAGAGTTTTTTTTAAGGCGTTTTTTTTACTTGGGGACTCGTTTTTTTTTAATAGAGATTTTCTTTTCGTGAGCTTCCATCCATGGAGGAGTAGTTTCGTTTATCTAGTTCAAGGATCAACGGAATGCAACATTCATGAGAATCGGTTTGTAGATTTTATATTTGAATTTGAGGTTTCTTGGTTTCTTGTTTCTCTCCATTCTAATTAATATCATGAACTGAAGGTTTTTGTTTGATTTATTTTTGAGAGGCAATTCAATTCATTGTTTTGTTTCAGTTGAAGTGCATGAATTGATTTTCAGAAATTAAAGTTAATTAAGTGGTTCAGAAAGTTAACACATTCGATTAGATTTTTAGAGGTTTCTAAGTTTAATTGAATTTGTGTTAATCAAACGCATGAAGGTTTTCGTGTGATCGCTTGTTTTTATTTGAGATCTCAGTTGAATCTAGTCTTTAACCACCGAATTTGAATAATATGTATTTTAGGATTCTGTTATTGAATGTTTGCTTATTCCTTCTTGATTCTTGAATTAGGTGTTTTTCCAATTGATTTAATCCTCTCAACTTTGACTCTGTTTTATTGATTCGATATCACCCCCCTCCTACATACTCTCCAAATAGATTAATTCTTCTTTGTGATCCTTTGGAAAACTATCCTGATTGCTTGCCTCGTGCTATAGTAATTAGGTTTAATTTTGACACGTGTACGACCCTGTGCCAGTCAGTTACCAAACTTAGTCAAGTAAATCATGCAAAGCTTGAAGAAGAGTAGAGAATAAGAGGATGATGACATGTAATATCATGATTGCTCATTGTGCAACAATTTAAACTATTTTTTCACTCAGTCCAATTGCAAAGAAACGCAAAGGGGTTGGAGGGATATCATGCATGCAACTGATTTGATTTATTTAGAATTATGTGAAGTTGAAAGCACATACAAAACACTATTTTACACACAAATAACCTAGAAACTCTAGGACTCCCTCTTGCCTTTGCTTGGTCATAAGAAAGGAGAAGAAGAAGTATAAAGGTTCCCCCTTTGGAGCAGGATTCTGGGCAGACAGTCTGTGGTTGTTAACATGGATGATTGAAAGTAACAAGTCTGGAAGAGAAAGGTGATAAAGTGCAGTTTTGGAGGAATGATGCTTAAGTCCTTTTGTCTTCTCGTTGTGTCTCTCAAACAATGTTTCCTTTTGAAGAAAAAAATGAGACAATGAGGATCGAGTTTCCTTTTATACGTGCATTAGCATATAGAGAGGCCACTAAGCTAACCTTCATCACTTCATCTCTCTTCATTAAGTGCCAACCTACCCCTTTAATCATGAGTCACCTCGAGAGATAGCCACCTAACCCACCATTAACTCGCATAGAATCTCTCTCCTTCCATTATAGGATTTTCACGTGACACTTCACCTTCCTCCACTAAGTCCTGATGGCTTTAGGGTTTAGGGTTTCGCGTTTTACCAAGGCTACTCATGCTGTACAAGAATTACAATCACTAGATGATTTTTGGGCACTTAATGCAGAGGCAATTTAAGAAAAAAAAAAGAGTGAGAAACAATAATTAAATGTGGTTTTAGTAAAAAAGTATATGAAATATGAATGATCAGCGTGGGTTGTGTATTTACTGGGGCATTTTAAATGCAATTGATTGGTCATAATGGTATTCAATTAGTGGGGAATGAATCATGTCTCCACCCTTTGGACTTCCCTCAAAAATTTAATGCAGGGAATGAAAATAATTGCAGGTAAAGGTTTTAATGGAGTAATAAATAAGGCATGCAATGGAGATTAATCAGGGAAAGCGGTGCATGAGAAGATGAGGAGGTTATACCTCATGTAGTCTGAGAAAGTAAAGGCCATGGCGAAGTAAAACAACTACTTTATGGGAGTGCCATTTTCGTGGAAGCATTTAAAAGATATCAACATGGATGATTAAGACAAGGAAGGAGGGTTATATTCTTGCCTCTTTAAATTCCTATGTAATTTTAATGCATTAGAAGGGAACAACTCCCTGAATTTTAATATGAGTATGAATGGCAATATTTACGCTCTTATTAGTACCATTCAAAGAGGTTATCTCATGGGGTGCTGAAGAGGGATAGAAAAACAAAGAGTCTTCCATCCACTTGCATCATAATTTAAAAGGAAACATATTTAAGGCATTTATCATGGTGAGAGGAATGAGATAATGTGAGGTGGAAAAGAAAAGGTCATATGATAATTATAATGGATGCACCATCTAGATAAGAAAAGATAAAATTTAATTTTTTGCATTTAGAATGCAACAATGACATTAAGAGTTTATGCTAAGATATCCTCACAAAAGTATGCAGTAATAGAAATAAACATGGATATCAAAAATAATTCTAAATCAAGCATACCAAAATAAAATTAAGGATTAAGAAGTAATCATGAAAAAAAAAAGCAATCATTGAAATAATAAAAATGACAATGATATAATATTAGATAAGAAAGAAGGAACAGAAAGAAAAAGAAAAGAAGAGAAAAAAAAAATTCTTCTCAAAATGCACCAATAGACATCGATTAAAGTTCAGGAATTGATCTAAATTTTTCGATAATATTACAGTAAAAGTGCTTGGAGAGTTTAGAAAGAGCTGATTTCAATATTTTTATTAGAAATGAAGATGAAGATTGACTTAAAGAAGTTTTTGAGTTCATTGGCATTTTAGACAATACCTATGTTAAACTCAATCATACTACAGGATTGAAAATAACTTATAATCTAAATATTATACATTTCTTATGTTATTCTGATGTAATAAAGGTCATAAACCTTGTGATAAAAATTGTTTCATAAATATGCTAGTCTTATTTGATATATAAAGGAGTGAATAAGAAAAAAAAAACTAGTAAATCACTATCAAACAAACTGTGGTAAAGATAATACATATACAAATTTTTTTGCTAAATAAAGAGCTCCTTTAGTTTGTAGTTTCAAAAATTGAATTTTTTCTCTTACAGGTTTGAGATTACTTCTTCATGCTAATATTAGGAAAATCTTATATTTGAGATTTTAATTTTTTTTTATTTTTTCTAAAAAAATAATACAATTAAGTAATAAATTTGTCAGGTTCTAATGAATTTAAATTAAAAAATAAAAGCTATTACAATCATACTTGTCACAATAAAAGGATAAGTTTAATAAAAGAAAAAAATTCAAAATAATTTATTATTATTTTTTCTTAATTTTGTTGAATTAATATAGGAATATATATTTTTAAACTTTAAAGATAATTTTAAAAAAATTATTTACTACATTTAAGTAAATTTGTTTAAATCTCACATTTAAGCAACCTTTTATCCATGGAAAATCTTTAAATTTTAATAAAATTTTTAAGTATTTATATTTATACTATTATTATTATGTGTGTGTATATATATATATATATATAAATATTGTTGATTTTATTTTAATATTAATCATAAAAAGAAAATAATTTATTTACATCTTAAATAATTTAAAATGAGAAGAGATGTATTTATTTTAGAAATTAGTCTTAGTTACTTACTTTATTTAAATTTTTTTACCTTAAATATAATTTTTAAAAAAAAATTATTTTAGTTTTATCTTTAGTTATAATTAAATAATAATGTAATTATTTTAGATCTTGCTATATATTAATTTTTGTATCACATTTTAATAAAATTATATTAGTGAAAAGATAAAATCAACAATTTTTAAAAATATAATTAAAAATTAATGTTATAAAAATTAAAGTTCAGTTTATTTGTGCGACAAAAATATATTAAGCTCGTAATTTTTTATAAATTAAATTTTATTAACTTAATCATTAAATTATATAACATTATATTTATAATTGTATATATATATATTAAATTATAAATAAATACATGTATAATTTTATAATTATAAAATTAAATATAAAATTAAATTTATATATTAGATAATATTATTGAATAAAAACGTTAAATAATTTTCAAATTTTATAACAAAATTATTTACGAAATAAGTCAAGCGCAACCGTGTTTTCTGTAAGCATACATTAAAAACTTAAAAAGAAAAAGACAGGTATGAATTAAATTTTACTTTTTAGATATTTATTAAAAATATTTAATATTTTCATTTGTTTATGTAAACGTACCCTAGAAACTTAATAAATATAAACATATAAATTAAAAGTATAATAAAAGGTGTTTCTCTAAACGCCGTCGTTGGCTTCGCCGCCCGCGAGGAAAACACAACACAACACCGCAACAAGAGAGAGAGAGAGAGAGAAAGAGAGAAACACGTTGAATTTTCTAATCTCATCCTTTTTGGACCCCAACAAATAACAATCTCTCCCTCTCTCTCTCTCTGTTTCTTTCTCTCTCTTTCTCCCACAACCAAACGAAACCCTAACGAAGACCCTTCTTCATCCTCCCCTCGATTTCAATCCCATGCTCTGATCCCTTCTCTCTTCCCCCACCCCTTTACACAGGTCAGTTTTTTTTTTTTTTTTTAATTTTAATTTTGAATTTTTTTCTTCGCGAAGCTTCGATTCTTGTTCGTCTTTTTTCTTTTCTGTAAAATCTTGGACCTGATTGTTTCGAATATGTTTTATCGTTGATTGATTTCGCAGATCTGGTATTGTCGTCGTTTGTGCATTGCCTCGCGTTTTTTATTTTTCACTTTTCTTATGTTATTCAATTGCTCTGCGAGTGGGAAGTTTTGACATTTGAATTTGCATAAATCTCATTCAGTTTCGTTATTAGTTTATTAAATCGAGCTCGATTATTATTAATTTGTGTTCTGAATATGTTGATGGGTTTCAGATAATCGTTGTTGTTCTTGTTTTTTTATTATCTTTGTTTTGAATATTTGATGTATGCGATATCATCTATTGTTATTATGGTTTTATTCAAGGGTTTTAAGCTGTATATTGTTTATGTGGGGGCAGTTTTTAATGCCCAAGATTTTTCATCTGATACAATCTTCGTTGAGGAGTTGAATTAGATCGTGTGTTTTACAGGAATTTAGACTTAACTTTTGAGTTTTACTTTCAAAGGGGTCAGTTATAGTCATGTTTTTATAATTAGTATATGGCCTGGTTTATTTATGTGGGTTCGGTTATTAATACCTGAGTTTCTTATATTCATGACAATTTTCAATTTTCAAGTTGAACGGGTCTCTGTATTTTAGAACTCAGTTTTAAATTTTACTTTCAAAGGGTATAATGTGATAGGAGGCCAGGGTTGTATGTGATCATTTATTGATACGTTTTGTGTGACAATTGTATTAGTTTTAGCCTCAATTACATGCTAACTATTAGAAATATGAATCATTGAAGTGGGCAATTTGTATAAATTTTTATTTGCAGGTTTCATGTAACTTGAGTTTGGTTAGACAAGAAATAATTGATGGATGATGATAGTACAGATGGATAAAATGTCTGCTCCTTCATCATGGGAGCGTGCACAACGCCTTTATGAAAAGGTATTCCTTTTTCTATCTTTTGGTCATTTGCTGAGCTGGAAACCTTAAAAAATAGCTGAACAATGGTTTATTGGTGTTATTCTCATATAATCTTCCAAGAAAAATATACTAGGAATCTGCTTAATGTTAATTGGCTAACTTGTGCACTATTGTGTTGTGGGTCTGTCAATTTTTTCTCGGTTTGTTGGTTTATTTTAATGATAGGTTATTAAGTCAGTGCTTTTTTTTTTCTCCTAATGGGATGATGACTTTGCATTACAATATTTTCTCAATTTCCTACGATACTGTTTTCGAATCAGTGCTAGGTCATGTCATCAGCACACACTGATAGATGATACTCTTTGTTGCCAAAGTTGAAGTTGGGTTACTTAATGAATTTTTAAAACAATAACTTCTACTAGATAAAAGTATCCATATGAAAGACCATAATAACTTGGCTTTAACTAAGAAAATGACAATACACGGCACCACACTGCTAATCTGGAGAATTTTCTGCGAGGCTCTAATTCTTCATTTTAAATGAATAAATAAAATATTTATTAAGAATTTTTAATATTCTTGGACGGTCACTTGCTAAGCTTGTAAAAGAAAACTAACCCAACTTATAACATGCTGTTTTCCATGGTTTTCCTTTGTTTTTCTTAAATTGGTGTGCATCAGCTTTTCTGGTGACATGAATGCATAGGTCTGGTTTGTAACATTTCAATTATTTGTTATTTAGAACCTTGAATTGGAGAGTAAACGTCGGAGGTCAGCTCAGGCGCGAGTACCATCTGATCCAAATGCTTGGCAACAGATGCGTGAGAATTATGAAGCAATAATTCTTGAGGATCATGCTTTTTCTGAGCAGCATAATATTGAGTATGCTCTTTGGCAGTTGCATTATAAGCGTATTGAAGAGTTTAGGGCATACTTCAGTGCTGCTCTTTCTTCTACAAGTGCAAACTCATCTCAGGGAGGGAAAGGCCCTGCACGTCCTGATCGGATCACTAAAATAAGGCTACAGTTTAAGACTTTCCTCTCAGAAGCAACTGGATTTTACCATGATCTTATTACGAAAATCAGAGCAAAGTATGGGCTTCCTCTTGGTTACTTTGAGGATTCAGAGAATCGGATTGTAATGGAAAAAGATGGGAAGAAATCTGCTGAGATGAAGAAAGGTTTAGTATCTTGTCATCGTTGTCTGATATATTTGGGTGATCTTGCTCGTTATAAAGGAATGTATGGTGAAGGTGACTCAATAAACCGGGAGTTCATAGCAGCTTCGAGTTACTACTTGCAAGCTGCATCTCTTTGGCCTTCAAGTGGGAATCCCCATCATCAGGTTTTTGGCATTGCTGCATCCATTGTTATTCTATGGTTGCTTTATACTTTTGTGGTATGTTTCATGTTCCATACTAATATTCCATTTTTAACAAGCCTTTTTTTTTTCCAGCTTGCTTTATTGGCTTCATATTCTGGGGATGAGCTGGTGGCTATTTATCGGTATTTTCGTAGTCTGGCTGTGGATAGTCCATTTACAACTGCAAGAGAAAACTTGATAGTTGCATTTGATAAGGTAATGTGACCATGGTTTTACTCTTTCTATCATTTGAGTAATTTGCATTATATTCTTTATTTGGGCTTGTTATTCATTCTTAATGTTGTCTATATCTTGATTACTGCTTGCACACTGAGTTGTTATTATGATGATGAGATTCACTCATTCTTACTGTTAGTGTTTGATGCTGAAAATTAAGTGCATTAAAAAGGGAGGTTATGAATTTAAGATTGATTGCAAGTTAATAAAGCCATGTTATCTGTACATGTCTTAGCTGGAGTTCATGCATGTGTTTTTAGTACATAATTATATTTGGTGGTATAGAAAGCTGAAAATAAGCATGCTGTGAAGCTAGTCTGTTTGTCATGGATCACTTTGGGCTTTAAGAATATGCCCTTGGACTTGATTCTGTGTATTTTTACACTATGTTCTGTGGGGTGTGTTGACTATTTATCCTCTTCCTGCTTTCACCCTTTTGTATTATTATTCTGTGATTCTTTTGGGACATAACATTATAATCATTCTAACTAGCAACTTTTATGATTCCATTATAGAATCGTCAAAGCTTCTCTCAGCTTCCTGGTGATGCTAAAGCTGTTGCAGTGAAGGAATCTTCTGGGCGATTAACCGGCAAAGGAAGAGGAAAAGTTGAAGCAAAGCTTGCAACAAGGGGAACTGGTGTTGATGCCAGTCCTAAAACTGAAGGAGCATCCAGTATGCAAGAAACTTATAAGTACTTCTGCACTCGTTTTGTCCGTCTGAATGGAATCTTATTTACGCGTACAAGGTATATATTTTTAACATTTTCTTTCTGTTTGTCTTTGTTTGTGTATAAATAAGTCTTTCTGACTCTTCCCTTTTGTTTCTGAAATACTGTGATAGCCTTGAGACCTTCACTGAAGTTCTTGCTGTTGTTAGTACTGGCCTGCGTGAGCTTCTGTCTTCAGGGAAAGATGAAGATCTGAATTTTGGGACAGATGCTCCTGAAAATGCACTTGCCATTGTCAGAATTGTCTGCATTCTTGTATTTACAGTTTATAATGTGAATAAAGAATCTGAAGGTCAAACATATGCAGAAATTGTACAGCGCGCTGTTCTGCTTCAGAATGCATTTACTGCAGCTTTTGAATTGATGGGTTACATAATAGAGAGATGTGCACAACTTTGTGATCCTTCTTCTAGTTATCTTTTACCAGGCATTTTGGTTTTTGTCGAGTGGTTAGCTTGTTATCCAGATCTTGCAGCTGGCAATGATGTGGATGAAAATCAGGCAACGTTGAGATCAAAGTTTTGGAATCGTTGTATATCCTTCTTGAATGAGCTGCTTTCAGTGGGGTCTCTGTCTATTGATGATGATGAAGAGGAGACTTGCTTTAATAACATGAGCAGGTATGAAGAGGGGGAAACTGAAAACCGACTTGCTTTGTGGGAGGACTTTGAGTTAAGGGGATTTGTTCCACTTCTTCCTGCACAAACCATATTGGATTTTTCAAGGAAGCATTCTGTTGGAAGTGATGGGGATAAGGAAAGAAAAGCTCGGGTCAAAAGGATTTTAGCTGCAGGGAAGGCTTTAGCAAATGTTGTTAAGGTTGAACAAAAACTAATATATTTTGATTCAAAGGCGAAGAAATTTATAATTGGTGTTGAGCCTCAAACCCATGATGATTTTGTTCTTGCCGCCTATTCAGGCATGCCAAATGCAAAAGAGTTTGTGCAAGAGAATCCAGCAGAGAAGTCAAAGATGGAAAATGTTCACTCAAACCAAAACCAGTATATTGAAGGAGATGATGATGATGAAGTTATTGTTTTCAAGCCTGTAGTGTCTGAGACACGAGCTGAGGTTGTGGCCTCGTCATGGGCACCCCATGTGGGTTTGGAGCCTGTTATGAAAGCATCTGGAGGGGATTTAAAATTTCATGTTAATTCTACATCTAACCCTCTAAATAATGTAAATCATCAAACTTTTACTGTTCCTGGTAATGGTATGGTTCCTCAACATCTGCAACCAGTGCAGCCCCATACATCGAGGTGGTTAGAGGAGGAAATTTCTCTTGCTAACAATTTAAAAGGTCTTGGATTATTTGAGAATGGGCATGTCATGAAACCTGGCTTACAAGAAGCTTTAGGCATCCCTAGCCAGGTTTCACTTCCTATTCCTATCCAACAATCTATCAATGCTGATACTAATGGTGTGCTTTATGGTCTTTCAAAAGCTTTAGAATCTGTGATACCATCCAAAATCGATGCCGTTGCATCATCTGGGGTAGTTTTTGATAACTTAGCTGTAAAAACATCAGCCTTGCCAGTTGGTTTGAGAAAATCCCCTGTCAGTCGACCTACTAGGCACCTTGGACCTCCTCCTGGTTTCAGTCCTGTTCCTCCTAAACAAGGTATTGAATCCACTGTTTCAGATTCAATTAGTGGGAATCCAATTATGGATGATTACAGTTGGTTGGACGGATATCATTTGCGTCCATCAATGAAAGGTTTAGGCCCCAATGTTCCTCTTAACTACTCTCAGTCAAATTCTCAGCAAGTCAGTAACAATGGCTTGAGTGGACCTGTCAGCTTTCCTTTTCCTGGAAAACAAGTTCCATCTATGCCTCTTCAGTTGGAGAAGCAGAATGGTTGGCAAGACTATCAAACTTCTGAGCTTTTAAAATCACACCATGATCAGCAGCTGCAGCCACAGCAACTCACAACTGGAAATCAGCAGTTTTCTTCTCTGCCTGAGCAATTTCAAGGACAGTCAATCTGGACAGGTCGTTACTTTGTGTGATGTCAGTATGAGAGTATAGATGGTATGCTTCTGGCATAGATTTATATCTGTTAATGTTACTCTTCTTTCTGTTCACATTTTGGATTGCTAACATAATTATGTATTGCATTGTGGTCCTTGAAAGGCTTATTGCGAATGTGCTGCATCCTTTTGCTACTCAGTCAAACTCCAACTTTGCTGCCTTGTCATTGAATGTTGTTGGAGTTTTGTTGGCCTTGACTTGTTGCAGGCACTTGCTACTTCAAAAGGTGAGTGCCAAATTCTTCAATTTGTTGATATTATTAATTTTATACTACTTGAAACATGGAATGTCTCAAGTCATATTCTTTTTGACTATATTTTTGTCTTGGTGTTGGTGTCTAATATTGCTGTTTGGGCCTGACTTACAATTTTGAGAAATCTCAAGAATTAAGGCTGCATCTTCTTATTTCTTTTTCTTGCAAATTACCGCAGAATATGCTGAGCTCTTCAGCCCGGACGAAGGAAGTTAAACAAGCATCTTTACAGTTCAGAAGTTCGTAAGAAGTAAATGCCTTGTCTGGTTGGTTGGGGTGGATAGGTGGTGATAAATAAAAGACTATTCAGTCGTCTTGGAGCTTATATCTTCTGGGATTGGTGGTGTTGCAATGGTTTGTTCACTTCTCTAGTGGAAATGTCATAATGATGCACCTGTAAAAATCGTTGTTGCCATCATTTGGTTGCAAGTGGTACATAGTGCCTAGCCCTTTTTTCTGCCGCAATGCTTCAGACTATTTAGTTGGGAAGGTTGGTAGATAAGAAGTGGGTGTCAAAGTTGGATAATGGGATATGATATTTGACAATTATGGGGCTCACTTGTGTGAGTACATGTGTTTAGTTGTTGCGTCTTCGTTAAGGTTCTTATTCTGTGTTGTGTATGACGAGTGGTCTGTGGTTCACTTACCTTTTTTTTTCTATGTCAAGGGGTTGACTCGAACTTCAAAATAAATTGGTGGATAGTTGAACACATATCCATCTTGGCCTGTATGAATACAATGATGAATTATCTATCTGTTGGATTTAGCATTTTTTATTGCCTGTTTTGTTTAATTTTTCATGTTTGTCCAGTAGTGTCTGTAGGATTATTATGAATAGTTTTCATATTCTTTTATGCTGCTGGGGGATATTGTTTAGAGGGTGGGTTATGGTTCTACTTAAAGCAATCCGTGTTAATATTTTTGAATTACTGATTCTTACATAGGCCTTCAAAGGAGGATGACAATGATATTCATTAATTGAATATGTGACTCTAGTAGAAAGTCTGTTTCCATGTTTTATAAATGATATTATGATTTATAACATTTAATTTTAATGCGTTAAGAGCTGTGATGTTTTACATGACTAATGTGACGTGGGTTGGGGCGGTGGTGATGAGCATGTTTTAGTTGTCAATTCATTATTATCCATAAAAATTGGATGAGGATCCTATACACTGTTGGCTTTGGATGTTAAGGGATTCTTTGACTTATAAAAAAATAATTTTTATCTCTAATTGTAAACTTAACATGAACATGGATTAATAATGATGGTTCGTGGTAACACATGAAGATATGAAAATATTGCCTTTTCTTTTCGTTCATTTTTCTCCAACCAAATATTTGTTAAAATCACCTTATTTTTATTTTATTTTGGCTTCTCTAATACGAACTGAGCAAATAATGTGCGAAATATTATGATATAATATGTGTATGTATAATATAATATAAGATTAAAATTGTAATTATAATATTTTAACCAATAACGTTGAATTGTACGAAAATATTAGCACGAATAGTTTCACGAAACACAGGTTATTAATTCACAGTCAGATATAAAATTTCCATCTTGATTTCTAATATAATCTTCTGAATTATTATTAATGTATGTTTTTAATAATCTGTTGATGGATGTCAAGTAGTTCTTAGGCTTTCTTTCAGTTGAAGGTAGCTATGGGAAGGATACATTGACATATTCTATGATTCCTGATTTTTTCTATTTCGTGACCCGTTGGAAATGTCTTGCTTCCTTTGTCGTCGTTGTTGATGCATTTGTACCAATTTGACATCATGTTGTTAATATTCCCATCTGATGATGTTACATTGTAACAAAGGGAATACTTTTGATACATATGAATTTTTTAGTTATGATAAGTGGAGCTGTTTATTATTATTATTGAAACCCTCTCTCAGAAAATAAAATAAAAGATATATTGATACTTTTTATGGTGTGAAATTAATTTCTATTACACTGTTTAGTATAATTCTAACGTTTTTACTAATATATGCCTAAATATATAAGTTAGTATGTTTAAACTAGATTTTTCGTTAAAAAATAGTTATTATCCCAAAAATATAAAATATATTCAACAATAATTTAAAGGTTAATTAGAAAAAAAAGGTTAAATTCTTAAAATTAAACCCTTAGCAATTAATAACATTATATCTCTATTAAATATCAATATCACATTTCTAATTTATCAACCTATTTTTTTATTTTTAATTATTTTTTATCGGTTAATTTTTTAAAAAAAAATTATTATTGCTAAGTGATAAATTCTCACTAAGTTGAAAAAGTATCTTTAAAATATATTTATATTCACATATTTAATATGAAATAATTAGAATATTTTTAATTTAAAAAATCAGGAACTAGGGCAACTCATTGGACAAGTTTGATTGGATTCAGGGCAGTAATGTCCAGTTCAACCAAACTCTTGCAAAGCATATTCTGACTTATTTCTATCCAATAAAAAAATTGGTGATTCGAATTTTTTAGGTGGGGTGTACATGGTTATGACCCTATTTGAGCTACGATAAAAAGAATTTTGCCTTATAAAAATTTAACTTATAATTTTACTTTTTGGTTTAATTTGGGTAATTATATGTTTAAAATTGTTCATTATAAAGATGAACCATTGAAAAATAAAATAAAAACGAATCTTGATCCAATCATATTAATACATACACGAACAAAAAAGTATTGATGCAACTTTGAATTTATATATGGACAGAAGAATAGTGGACACAAAAGATTATCAGAATATTCAAATTCTAAGTTGCAAGTTGAATTAACACAACCATGTCCACAGTAGTAATACAATCAAGTTACTAACAATTACATCCACCTAACATAAATAGTAAAACAAAATAAGAAATTAATGAACAAAAAATTTATGATTATTTTGAAGATTAAAAAACTAGTCAAGTTAATTTACCTTTTAAAAAAGGGCAATGTTAATCTTCACCATGCAGACAATTAGGCAATCCATCCCTAACAAATACATGCAAGTCATGCAAATTTTAAAAACAACAACCCTTCCTTTTTGTATATGCAGTACATATTGAAAAACAACAAGCCTCCTTTTTATATATGCAAAAATAGAACTTATCATCTTTTCTATTTTAACTTGATAACATTAAAGTAAAAAAAAAAACCTACAAGATAGTTAAAATAACTTACAATGAATGAAAGAAAATATGAAGGTTTGATTTCACTAAAACATATATTAGAGACATTATAAGATCAAAGTAAACCAAGGATGATGAAAAGCAAGATAAAGAAAGCTTTGTTAAATGTTAATTACCATGATTCTCCACAAAAGCACACAAATGACTGAAGTGACAATAGAACGCATCAATATAGATAAGTACCAACAAACATGTAAAGTACAAACAAAACGTAAAACAAATATTGATGAATTTAGTAGAAATTTGAAGTCCATGAGCAAAAACTATGAAATTGATTCACTGAACAAAAAATTAGAAATTTTAATAACTATCCATGAAGAAGGTGTTTCAAGCTATCTAAGTAGTGTATGAAATGAGTTGACAACAAATCACTCTAAAAAAGTAAAAAAATAATAATAATAAAAAGTAAAAGTAACACTTTAAAAAATAGATAGCAAGTATTTAGTAAGGCATATTAAAAGATAATTATTTAACAAAAGTTGAGCATACTTCTAAAATAAAACAAATTTCTAGGTTGTGATTGAGATGATCGACTAGCTTCAACTGAAAATTCAACTCTAAGTTTTATTGTTGTTATTATAGAGCATGTTGACTCACTTTCAAATTCTTAAAAAATATCAAATCAGAACATTTTAATTAATTTATAAATAGAGAAAGAAATATGTTCATTTATATTTAAATTTTTTTCTAATATTTATTATATTTAAGCTTAATTTTCCATCCTATAGAGCTTAAAATAGAATTTAACTTCATCTTAGTTTAGCATCATTAAATTAAATACATAGGAAAAGAAAGATAGAAAAAAATAATATCTTACTTAAGGAATAAAACACATGTTTCATTCATTTCAGCATCACTACTAAATTGGTAAAAGAAAATATGAATATATAAGTCTAGCATCATTGAATTAAAAAGAGAGAAGAAAAAAAGAAGAAGTAATATATGAGTTAAGGAATAAAACACCTATCTCAGTCACCTCAACATCATTGAATTAGAAAAACAAAATAGATATGTCTCATTCCAGCATTATTAAATTAAAAATGAGAAAAGAAAAACATGAATAAAATATATGACTTCGAAAATAAAACACATATCTCAGTCACTTCAACATTATTGAATTAGAAAAGTGAAACATATATTATCATTGAATTAACATTTAATAATACAATACAAAAAGAAGAAGAAATTACAAAACATGACACATCTTACTTCATTTAGACATCATTGAATTTGAAAAATATAAAAAAAATCTCATACTCAAGAAGTCTCAATAAAATACAAAGTCTTAAAAAGAAGAAGATTAACAATTCAAAATATTAAAAAGGTTAAAAACTTCAATAACACGCAAGTCCCAATACAATTCTTTGTTCTTTCTCCTTCTTATTTCAATTTCTCTTTTACTCCTTTAACTTCAATATCCTCCTTAATAACTTTAAGATGTGTTCAATAGAAAAAAATAAATAGATAATATAGTAATTTATCTTTATCAGCACGCAAAATCTAAATGTGTTAATAATAATTTAACGTTAAAAATATCATTTAGTGATGATATAATTTAAAAATTTAAGGAAAAATATTTATCAAAGAAAATCATTAAAAAAATGGGAAAAAAAGATAGATGATAGTATATAAACTAATAAATATATAACATTGTTAATGATTAAGGTTTTAGTTAAAATTTAAAACTATAAGGACTTAATTAAAAGTTTTGAAATTATAATAATTTATTTAAAAAATTTAAAAAACTATAGGAATTAAGAAGTTAATTTAATTTAATTTAAAATTTTAATATATATTTAATTATATCATTAAACACATATAAAAAACATTGTGAAGCATCACAATATATTTACATGGTGTGATTTTGTTTTACATTTTCCCTCCCCCTTAATTCTAATCTGAAGGAGATTAAATAATTAATAGAGTATTATATTATCAGTTCTTGTAATTTTTCTTCTCTCTTATTTTATAATATATATACTCTTCTTTGAAGATAAATATGTATTGAATTTAAATTAATTTTAATGTAAAATATTTTAAGTTTTTTCTATTGCAATGATCCCAAAATAATTATTAATTAATTTCATATATTGAGTGGCATATTCAGTGAGCTCAAAATGAGAGTAATAAAATTTGACAGCATGAACATGCATGATAGTTAATATTAATAATTATTTAATAATCACATATTTATTTTAAATATCACACGACAATATTTTAATTTTAATTATTTATTATTATATTTAATTTTAAAATTTATCTCTCGTTCTCACGTTAAAATTTCTTCTCGTTTAATGCATTCATTGTATATTTATTATCATTTTTGTGACCATAATTAAACGATAAATAAAATTATTGATAAAATTTTAAAACTAATAACCGAGGTATTTAAAATTTCATTATGCTAAATTATCGAAACCGAGAATATGATGTTCAAAATTAGTCGTTAGTATTAACAACTGTATAAAAGAATATCATTACGAGACATTCATAATCATTTACTATTAGATATTCTTTTTGTATTAAAAAAATATAGTATAAGTCATTCATTTCTCAATGAAAGAATATGTATATTTTAAAATAATTAAAAAGATAATAATTTAAGCATCTTTCAAAGAAAAATTATATTAATTTGTTTTAATTAATGTTTTTCCTAGTAAATAAGATAATGTTTTCAATTATATCACTGTAAAACAATTATAGTTATAGACAGATATTTATCTTGCAATGACTAAAATGACATTCATTTAATTTTTTTAACATAAAGTGACAGTAAATTAATTAAAATAAATAACTTGTAAAATCTGATATTAACAAATTTTTAAAAATTTAAAAAAATAAAATTCATATATAATATTGTAAATTAACT